CATGCCAGTCTTTACAATTCCCCCTTCCCACTGGTCTCAAATGGTAATGAGCTATAATGGGGCTGGGTTTAATGAACAGGAGAGGAAGAAAGTTTTGGGGGATGAAGGAAGCAGGGAGGGTGTGTGACTTCTATCACATGGCTCATTTATCAGCACTGTGTGTCTGTAGAATACCAGACCTCCGTGAGTCATAGTTGTCACTCCCAAAACACCACAATAATTGCGTCTGGAAAGCGAGCCCAGTGAAGGTCAGGACTCATTTTTGCAGGGGACCTGAAGGTAAAACCAATTACAGCTGTGTTGATACATCAGTGCTTTGGTGTTTTCTTGCCTGACTAAAGGTCAAAATCAATCAAAAAAAAAAAAAAAGAAAAAAATTAAAACAATAGTTGGCTTGAAATCAATAAAATATGAATTTTAAATCTACAGAGCTGTCGTCTTAAAGCCTTCATTCAGGTGTGTCACAAAACACAGAGTCATGTGCTAGTGTCACAAACCTAATGTTAAATCCTTCTGCATCAATTGGTGTGTGTGCAAAGAGAAAGTGAAGCAGTTTTCACCTCCTTCACATGTTGCTGCCTTGTTTGGATCTTGATTTAAACACCACAGGCTCTGGGTTTGTCCTCTTTGTCAAATAGTCCCTGAACACCTCTACCTGTCTTGTCTTTGTGTTTGCAGAGTGCCGCACGATGAAGTCAGTAACCTATGGGAAGATGTCGGGCTCTCTCAACCGAGGCTCCCCCAGGACTATCATCCAATCACGCCGCAGCAAGTCCCCTGCATCTGGTAAGACCAAAAAGAAAAAAGAAAAAAGTTTCTTTCCTCCTCTTGTCCGCTCTTCGTTTTGTCCTCTTGTTGGTGTCATTTAGCACAACATCATTGTGAGTGTTGATGCATGACGATTTTGTGCAGCATCTCAGACCTGGGAGTTGTTTGTGTCCTAATACTTCCTCATCTGATTGCTTAGTATTTTCTAGCTCATTACTTAATCAGCGTCGCAGCACAGTATGAATAAACACTGCATTGAAATCAGAGTTCTGCGGAGTGTCTGGCACTGTGTGTGTGTGTGTGTGTGTGTGTGTGTGTGTGTGCACGCGCGCACGCAAATGTGAGCTGCGTCTAGTTGCATTCACAATATGAATTCAAATGAGAATGATTTCACAAGGGAGTAGAGAAAAATGCAAACAGGGATGAGAGAGGTAAAAAAAAAAAAAATGAGGAAGAAGAAGAAGAGGGGGAGTGAAGATGAGAGGGAAAGAAGAGGGAATGGGGCTGGTGACTCAATCCTGCAGCTCCCCACAAGCCGTTCTTCACCTGACATACTAATGAAATGTAATAAAATGATGAGAGCTTGCACCGGTACCTGCTTCATTGTTTGGTTGCCTGATAATGTGCCAGAAACTCCTTTTGAGGCAACAGCAAAACAAGATGTGCACAATAAAAAAAAAAAAAAGAAGGAAGCATAAATTCTAACAACTGAATGCAGCTATTCATTAGTGTACCAGTGTGTGTATGTGTGTGTGTGTGCCAAACATTCAGTCAGTCTTAAAGCCGGCGAGGACTCGGTGATTAGTTTAGAGCTTTAACAAATATCAGGTCATTCTTTTCCTGATTGCACAGCTTGAGCTTTGGCTGTGTGTAAAACGCCTAGTTATGCAACGGCGCACTTGACTTTTCTTCCTCACTGTAATTATTTTGTGATGTGAGTGCACGGAGACCTATTGGGTTGGGGATGATTCAGTGGGTGATGCAACACACAGAAACTACCCCCAAAAGAATTCGTTCCACCTGCTGCTTGAGCACATGCACACATGCATTTCTGTTTTTTTTTTTTTAAAGAATAGGGCAATTTTTTTTTTTCAAACTCTAATCAACTATGTAGCATTGCAGATTGAAAACCTACACTTGTTTTGCGTTGAGCTCTGGAGGATGAAGTGAGGAAGCGGTGAGAGAAACAGAAACAGCTGGAGTGAGAAGAGAAAGTTCTGGATGCTGATGGCTTGAAAACTTTGGGGAAAAGGTTATGAGAATGAGTCATACGCTATCTGATCTCACTGGCTGCTGCAGGTCTGAAATGAAGGTGTATTCTAATGTGTGTGTCTGACTGTGTGTGTGTGTGTGTGTGAGAGAGAGAAAGCAAGAGACGGAGGGAGGGGAGACTGACTCGTCTTGGTTGCCATGGAAACATAGCACAGCAGGAGCATGTAGCTACAGACACAATAGCTTGTGACGGCCAAATATGGCAGTGACTTCCTGCGAAATGGCCTGCAGTTGAGCTGACTGACACTCTGTCCTCGCCGGCACCCTGAGTCAGACCATCCTGGTGTTTTCACTTCTGAGAAATGTTTCCCTTCTGCTTCTGCTTCCGCTACTTAACATCATCAAATGTTCCCCGGACTGCTGTTGCGCACTGCACTGTTTACTCCGTAAAACATTGTTGGTTTGTAATGGAGGAGCTGAGAGTGGAGCGAAAACAGGAAATGAAATCTAACTGCGGATCTGCTGTTTGACCCAGGCTGACCTGACTGGTCTTTTTTTTTTTTTTTCGCTTTAAAAGCACACCATGCTCTCTTCCCTTGGGAAAAATGTACCCAATTATAAGAGTCAACAACAGCTGATACTGTGTGCTGTACTGCATGCCTTATAGAAGTGCCCCTTCTGTTATTGAAGTGTAAGTATGTCATCACAAGTAGGTCTTACCGGGATTCAATCTCACCATAGTGAAAATGAAAAGATAGAATGATTCACAAACTAATTTTGTTGATGTATCAAGGAGCAGAGCCCAACTCATACTTTAGGGGTCGATACCGAGTAAAAAATTCTAATATCAATATAGTGGCTGATATTGTTCATATACATATTGTTTAATAACTTACCATGAAGACAAGACTTGACTCCACACCACTGTCTGCTCAGCTCTGATGCGTACTCTGCTACATGTGCTGCAGACACTGCTGAGAGGTTTGTAAACAATAGAGTCAAAGCTGCTGTCTTGGACATACTTTGTGTTGGTACGATTTCAAAATTACCCCAAACATCTGCTTCCGTATTTTGCTCTATAAAAGAAGTTGGTGCTCCTCACATTTCCACTTGCTGTTCACTTACGATTCATTCAAAACTCACTGATATAAAACTTTGGATTGAGACTTCATGTTTGAGAAACAATAATAAATGTATTTTTGCCAGAACTAGTGTAGCTGTTGCTGCACAGTAACAGTTGAGACTATTGCTAAAATGAAAATAAACAATCCTTTTGATTAATTATTTATCAAGCAAAAATTACTGAACGCTGATGGTTTCATCTTCTCCAGAGTAAGGATTTGCTTTTTAATTCTGTTTTATGTCATTGTATATTGGATATGTTTTGGTTTTTTGACTGTTAGAGAGAAAACACGAAATTCAAAGATGACACTTCTGGATGTGAGAAATTTTAATTAGCATTTGTACTGTTTTCTGTGTGTTTATGAACTAACCATTTAATTAGGAAATCAAAATAATAATTAACAGATTAGGCAATTGTGAAAATAATTCTTAGTGGCAGCTCTAAACTACCATACAAATTGGCAAATTCTAAAAGAAGCAACAGCGTGGAATGACATCTAAGCAAAGTTAAAACCAGGAGAGACGTGATTCCAGCTCACATCAACAACACATTTCCTCAAAATGTGTACATTTTTGATTAAACAATATAACAAAGATGGTCACCTGCTGTTACTGAGTTCAGCCTCATGTTGTGACTCAGTCTATGGGCCAGTGATAATCAGGCATGTAGTCAAAAAAAAATCACTTCTGGATCAACTATTGGAGTCTTCAAAAAAAGGTTTGCAAGAAAAAGTCTTCAGTCTTCGGGGTGTGATGTGAATATTACTTATTTAATACAGAAACTGTACGAACAAACATGAGACTCCACTTGGCAGATTTTAACTGATGAAACATCTTTTTGCAAGTTCTTATATACTTTTAAAACTCTCCTCCTTTTCCTAAAAAACCACAACCCACTCTTTAAAAAAAACAAAAAACAACTACAATCAGGACTCCTCTGTCACCGTTAAGTTTGAATTTATTCATGTCTCGAGGTGTGTGCTCTAATTGTGGCAAGTTGTCAACTACCTCCTTAAAAATAAATAAATAAATAAATCACACCCAGGGTTTTTGCCTCTTCTCCCTCACGACTGCACCTGCGTTCTATACCACAACTGTTCTTCGTCACAAGACTCTCCCGGCACCATCCTTTAAACTTGCTGGGCCATCGTGACCTTGAACTCAAATTCACACAGGAATGCAGAGGGAGCTTGTGCTTCAAGCAAGCATTTGTTTCAGTTGCTGTATTCTGTGGGTTTTTTTCATTTGGTTGCAGTTTACACAGGATTGTTCACTGTATACATGATTTCAGTTTGGACATCATATTTTCCAGTTTTATCATTTGTTTGTACATGAGTCTGATTTAAACATCACAGCTTCCAGTTTTGTCATTTGCTTATTTCAAAACCCCGCAACACTGGAACGCACGAGGCAATTGTTATCAAGTGTGCTTGATGTTTTAGTCCTTTTGTGGTCTTTGGTTTTTGAGTGTGCAGCTTTCTGATATCAAATCAGACATTTTCACACGCCAATGGACAATGTGAGAAGTCTTCCAGCTAAACATTGTGTAAAATGGATATAAAAAGCATAAATTCAATAACTATACAAAGTAATGCATCTGAAATAATGCACTTTACTTCAAATTACTGCATCTTTTGATTGCAGTCCAAATTTGAGATCTGGAGATTGGAATTAAAAGTATAGACATCAGCCAAGACAGCTCTCTCCATTTCTAGATGTGTAGATACCAGCCCCAGTAGAGCTGTAATGTTCTCATCCATTCTGTCAGAGCACAGTAATGAACTCTTTAAACCTTGCTGCAGGTCTTTGGGTGTTGTGAAAGCAGTCTTGAAGTCCCATATTAATATTCCATTCAGCCAACACAGACGTGAAATAAGTCTTTATCGCATCTAATATGCTGGACCAAAGGAGCTGCACAGAACAGACGTGAAGCGAGAATTATCTCTGCAATAGTGAAAGGGAGAGAGACTGACAGAGCGAGAGCATGCAACACAACACGTGCGCTGTCAAACACCACCTGGTGTCCGTCCATGTGTCGGGCCGCTCCGAAATGTGTGTGTTTGCAGCTGAGACAGCCACTGTGGAGCAGAAGTGTGTGAGGGACAGACAGGGAGACAGTCGCACACTCATACAAACACAAATGATGCAATCAGAAGGTGTTACGCTGTAAAATTAAATGAGAACTTGTAATGTTTACCATATACAAATTATTCACTGCTGTTGCGGGGTTTGTTTTTTTTTTATTATGGCAGTGAATCAAAGTAGACTTCATGTGGATTTTTCACACAGATTACAAACGAAACAAGGAATATTTTAATGTCAAAGGAAAACAGACCTTTTAGAAGTTAACAATGACTTAACGGCAAGAAGGTTTTTGGCCTTTTTTTTGTGGAGTTTGTACGTTCTCACTGTGTCTGTGGAGGTTTTCTTAGTGAGAAACAGGCACGGTGAGGTCAGTTGGCAATTCTGAATTGGTCATAAGTGTGAGTATGCGGAGTTATCTGCATGCCTGTCAAGGTTGTACCCCGTTTCTCACCTTGTGTCGGCTGAAATACACTTCAGCACACAGTCTGACATTCTACAGGATCAGGCATGTACAGCTGATGGATGGATGGAAGGATGGATGGATGGATGGATGGATATTGAAATATTTGTTATCTGCTGTATCCCACCTAAATGCGGCA